GGGGGGGGGGATATGGGGGATAGATCCCCCCCCTTGACCTTTTTTTTTCCTAAGTAGCTATAAGTTGTCTCATTTTCTCTAATATTCTTAATATGATATTACTTTCAAGCATGTATGTTTTCTGTTTTCTAAATGTTCTAGTCGTGGTAATTGTACCGCTTTGATAGTCTGATATACTAATCGCCACTAATCGTTTATCGTTGGCGGCATATACGACTATCAGGCATATACCTATATTATGGTGTACTGTATTTTGTACGTTTCTGTGAATTATTTTTCATGCAAGAGTGTTTATAATAAACCCGATAAGCAATCGGTAAACAAAACAAAATGACCATGAAGATCGTGGATTAACCATAGGGCGGCCGGGCGGGTTTATTTTTAGAAAATTTGTTACTAGTAGATTTATGGCTAATGTACAGATATATATATATATATATATATATATATATATATTTTATCTTATGATATCGTGATTCGTTAAAAGTAGATATGTACGGTCATTGGACGTTGACGGATAGCGACGCCGCGCCATTCCGAGTACTGACTTACTGCCGAATTGACTATTGTTCAACTTTATTTTTTGCGTCTTGTAAGTTGTAACTGTGAAGTTTTAAGACAGTATGAGTAATATTCAAAAACAAAAAAAAACTTTATTTTCTTATTTTAGTACAAATAAAAAAATTTGTTTGGAAAATGATGAGGTAATTATAAAGATTAATTCTATTTTGCCTTGATCCACACTAACCTCAATAGGTAACAAGTTAGGGGATTTTAAAAATGTATATTATGTACGAATTAATGGGTGTTAGGATGTATTATTATATATTTCATCCCCCCCTAGAAAAATTCCTAAATACGCCACTGCAATGAGTCAAGGAGACAAAAAAAAGACTAATTTTTTGATGAAGGAGTTGCGGAAGATATTGTGTTTCCAGAAATAAAAACAAAAGTTAAAACTTTTTTTTCTTATCATTGATGCTTTAATCCAGCGGTTCCCAGCCTTTTTAGTAGTGCGGACCACTAATGTCGTAGAAAATCTTTGAGGCCCACCAGTAGTAATATATGTATAATGTGCATATACGTCAGTTATTACAATTTATTTATTAAAAAACAATTGTTTATCAAAAAAAAAACTTCATTGAACCAGATTATTCAAGAGTTAAACAATTTAATGTGATTTTGGATTGTCCCCCACAAGAGAATCAATAACTGGATTAAAAATGAAAAGTTTTAGCCTTAAATCACTCAACATTCAATTTATTCCTACATTTTTTTTTTAAGAAAATTAAAGTAGAAAGCTCATTCACACAGACACACAGGTTGTCGAAATACAGCCCATCAAGTTTCTAAGTGAAATTTTAGAAATTGCTGGAAAGTCTTGCAGAATATTTAACTAGAATGGTAATCATGGTGTAGTTTTAAAAAACGATTTGAGAATCTGGTCACATGAAAGTTCAATCAACGAATCTTCTTCACTTACTGATATTTAATATTTTAAAAATATATATCTATAAGTAATGTTAATATAATATGATTCACGGCCCAGTACCACCTGTTCGCGGCCCATGGATTGGGAACCGCTGCTTTAATCAGTACATTAAATAATCGCAAATAAGCATACAAGTAATTAAATGAAAATTTTGATTTTTTTAAATTTAGAAAACATAGACCGAACTAAGCTTAGGTTAAAAGCTGAAAATTAATATGAAATATATGAAGATGACTTAGGAATCGAATTAATTGAAGAATTATTACAATTTAAACAAATGATTTCATGTATGCCAGAAGTCAAAAAAATTATTTTCACGTTTTATTAAAAGTATTAAAAATTAGAATATATGTTCGACATTTTCATCAATAGGAATTGCACTTAAAATATTTACAAGCGTGCCTTGTTCAAATTCAATTGGTAAATGTTCATTTTCTGTTTTGAAAAGAGTAAAAACATATATCCACTCATCATTAGCAAATGAAAAAACATCTTCATCGCTCTTCTGCATGGAATCTGAAGTAGTAACGAGTACTTTGGTCCATATATTTGCCAAAGATAAAGCAAGAAAAAAAATATAAAATATTGTTTGTTATTTTTATATATTAATTATGTTAGTGATTATTTCGTTATTAATGTTTTTAATTAAAATAAATTAATAATTATAAATAATAAATATTGCATGGTTTTTTTTTGTTTTCGTGATGTCTGGTAATATGGTGTCCCATGGAAATTTATATAATAAGAAAACAATTAGTAATTTAATCGTAGGACGCAAAAAAATGTTACACCAGGACGCTGAATAGCTTGACATGACTCTACATAAATAGTACACAACATATATTTTACATAATATAATATTGAATTTATAATATGTAATAGCATCATTGTACCATAAAACGGTTTAACTTTTTTTATTCTCATCTTTAATAGTCATTAAACATGTATATCCTAGATATCTAGAAGTTTAATTTTGTTCAAACAGTTCAAAGAAAATATTATTTTTTTAAGTCAAGCCTTATGATTATCAAAAAAAAATATACTTATATATTTTACCTAAATCGGTGGAACAGACCATGGGACCTCCAGAATCGCCTTGGCAAGCATCGACTCCACCATCAAGATTTCCTGCACAAAACATTCCATCTGTAATAGCCGTTTTACCGTATACAAAATCAGATTTACATATCTTCTCATCTATTATTGGCACCGAGGCTGATCGCAGACTTTTAGCGAAACCTAAACAATTATATTTAGGATACTAAATAAAACTTTTTTGATTTAACGTTATCATAAATAATATACTTGAGCCAATAGAACCGTCAGATCCCCATCCGGTAATGGTGCAGTTCATACTGGATTTCAATTTAATATTTTTATTAGGTAAACAAATAGGCTGTACATATTGATTAAACTTGATCCCTGCAGTCTTTAATTTTATAACTGATATATCGTTATTCAATTTTACGCTTCCTTCAAAATTATCATGGTTGTAAATTTCATCAATGTAAATATCTTGTTCAGAGTCTTCGTTTATCTATAAGCCATTAAATCAAACACAAATTCATTAACCCTTTAAGTAATACATAAGAATTTAATTTTCCGTCGAGGTACAAAAAAGTAGCCAAAATAATTATTATCTAAAGGAGTCCATACACGGGTCAGTTTTGAATGACAATCAACGTGATTTATATTCATGCCTGACTGTGTATGTGTATAACTGACAATCAAATTTTATAACAATGAAAATCAAACATTTTTTTATTGTTTTCATTAGTCAAGATGGTTAACTTTCATGATTGCTCGTGTATGTACTTGAATGTTAGTCGAATGAGCCGAAAAGTGCAGTGAAGTGCTTTATTGTATTACCAAAATAATTAATAAGTACCTATCAATATTATTAATTTAAGTACTATATATTATACTTTATGTAGGTAAATTGAATTGAAAGCCTATGTAAGTGTCAATAAAGTGTTCAATATAAACTTGAGTTTCAGCTCCCCCAATTCTCAATCACTATTTACACCAGATATGGAGAAGAGAAAAGTCGTAAATACCTTATGTACCTATTTTTTAAAAATATATTCAATTTTAAGTATACTTTCTTGTTCGGGTTTTTATAAATTATATTTTACTTATTTGAAACATTTTTTATATGTTTACTACCTTGTCAAAATAAATAAATAAAGCATTTAGATAACACTTTTAGTTTATTAGTTGGTACTTACATCCATATTGAAGTCACCAATTCTGACGTAGTATACATCTTTATCTAAATCTCGTACACAATGTGCAGCCGTTAATATGTGATATTTAGAAATAATAACTGCACCGCAAACATGTTCCGTTAGACCGGACGGTGTCCTCGATCTTATACTGGCCTGAATTTTATTATATAATTTATTATAATTCACTAACAATTAACAAGAGCTATAATAGATAAAATTATTTTAAAAATATTTTTACATACCTGCCAGGGATGGTCTCCCCTCTCAGAATGATATCCTAACGCTATTCTTTGTTGCATCATACTCTTCCACTTTGGAATCGTAACTAACCGTTTTCCACATTGACCCGGTAGCAGTTCTTTAAGATGTTTTTTTTTCGGTATTACAGCCGTTAATAATGAAGAATCTGCATTCTTTATGATTAACAAGCAAAAAATCAAACAAAAATTATAATATTTAAAAAGAAAACGCATTCAAAGAATAGGTACAGATGACAAGTATTAAGTGTCCAGAATCATTTGAGCATGTAACAGGCAGAGCGTATTTAGACTTACTCTAGGGGGGGGAAGGGTGACTCAAATTTTTTTTTCAATTCAGGCTCAAAATTTACAAGACAAATTTTTGTAATATTTTAATCGGGTGAATACTTAATATTTGTGGTTTTTTTTTAATCTAATGCCGGATCCACTTAGAATCGACTTTTGTATAGTTCTTTTTTAACAACTGTCTATGTTTTGAAAGTTACACTTGTGTCTTATTTGATTTTTCACTAAGTATGGACCCGACAAAAAGCCCAATTCAGTATTCACAACCATGCGTAATTTGATTTTGTTATAAAATGATCCACATTAAAAAAAATTGTAATGTGTATCTCACATACTCGTATAATCGATTCCTTAAATCGCCCCCTTCCCCCCCTAGAATACGCCCCTGGTAACAGGTAATATGAATGTTATATATATGTTAATTATATAGGGCAGTAATTTTAAACTGACGCTAAGAGGTCATATGTAGCTTATAGGAGGCACACAACAGAAATAGCTTAAACAAATTATTGTTAAAATTAAGAACAATAAAAATATATAGATAAACATAAAAAATTAATAATAACTACTAACATGGAATAAAAATTAAAATACCTACTAATAATAAAACATTTCGGAGAAAGATTTTGAAAATATGTAAAATAAATAATTTTGATAAATTACATGCTTTATTACTCATTGTATATTTTATTTTCAAGTCTTATAAGAAAATTTGTAATAACTATTATATTTGTAGGTCAGATCATTTTTTTTATAAAAAAAATTCTGATATTTGGGGGATTTCAACGCCTAATCACCCCCTCTTTCGTTAGTACTTGACTACATTGTTTAAAAGTAAAGATGCACTATTTTTGTCTTATTTCCTAGAATTTATTATAATCTGGGAAAGTATAATGCTAGTTACCTCCCTCTAAATCAATATCGGCCCTAAGGGGGGGAAGAGGTGTTATGTGGTCGCACCGAACCCTGTGCAAGTAAATTTTATTATGTGTAATAATTTATTTTAAGTTAATGGTTTTAAATTTAAACGCATTCACTACTAATGTCAATAACCACCTAATTTATATTACCAGACAGATGACAGTTTTTTTCAAGTTTTTAGTCTACCTATATAATTACCGACATTTTTTATTTATCAATTTCAAGTTTATTAAGGTATAAAATTTTAATATTATTGTTATATTGTTTTTATATAGTTCAATTTCAACACATTTTTGATATTTTGTAATTTTGAAGACTAATTATATAATCATAATATTTATATTTATGTATCTAAAATAATTTAATGTTAAATTACTTTTTTTTCGATCCACATGACAAATAACCGATACATCTTCATCATGTTTACAATTATGTTGTCCCCATTTTGCGTGTATACAATGTTCTAAAGAGGTTTCATTACCCGCACACCGCAATTGATCCAACCAAATCTGTCCTTTTCCGGGGCCAAAAGCTGCTTCTTTTTTAAACTAGATATATTTTAAATTGTTGAATAGAAACTACTAAAAAAGTAAGTAATTTTTGCTCAAAATTATATATTTATTCAAGTACAACTCACTTCAGCATTTCCTTTAAAACCTAGATTGTTGCAAATGACAAGTGCTTCGTTTATACCAAAATCATCATCACACACTGTTCCCCAAACACCAAATTGACGCACTTCAACCCTGCCTTCCATACCAGCTCGACGTTCATTTCCACCAACTAAACGTATCTCTAAAGGTGACTGTAGGTACCATAAAAAAAATATGAACATTAAAATACATACTTTTGGTAGAAGTTGATCGTCAATTGGACGAAAATAAAATAATTAAAAGAAGGAATTGTAACTTAAAAGTATAGAAAATTCGAAAAGGAATATAATACTAATGAGATAAAGATATTCAAAGTTAAATTGCTGGCATTAAGTAATTAAAATTGTTAATCCAGCGTCTTAACTTGGATTTTATCAGATAAATAAAAACAAAGAGTCATATAGGTATTTAACTTAATATTTTTTAATTTTTTTTATATCTACATTCTAATACAATTTAGTAGTTTAAAACAAATATATAAAACACTGGCATATGACTTAATATAAAATGTTCCATTATTATTTAATAACTAAAAGAGTTTATGCAAAAGATTATCCTTTTTTCTTTGGAGCAATTTTCTGAATAAATTTTTTTGGCGCTTTAGTTGTTGTACTAGTTGATGTAGTTATTGGTGTAGTAGTGACACTCACATTACACTGTTCAGGAGATTCATCTGACCCATCAGTACAATCTGTCACTGAATCGCACAAGAAACGTATTGGAATACATTCTCTAGATTTACATTCAAATTCTTCGCTTAAGCAAGTTTTTCCACCAGCTACTTTACACACAACTCCAGCCGACTGAAATTCGGTAATTCATAAACAATTAATTAGTAGTGATTAATAAAATATATGATTTTAAAACCTCTTGAATATTGCAGTCATGAACTCCCCATTCTTTAAACTGACAAGAGTACAATGATTTTTCATTTCCATTGCAATCAAGATCATCCAACACGAATCTTGTTTTATTAGGCACTCCAAAATAAGAATTTGGTTTCACAGCAAGAGAACCTGGGAAGCCCAGTTCTTGGCAGATGACATTAGCTTCTCGCAAGTCAAATTTATCATCACATATAACCCCCCATTCACCAAGCACTAAAAATATACATTTTTATTTAATACAAAAATATTAAATAAACTATTAATAAATAAATAAATAAATATACAATCAATTATTAATAAATATTATATCAAAATTACCTTTTACTTCAACACGTCCCTCATTAGTAGAATTACCACCAGCCAATCTTATTTCATATCCCATCATAGCTTCAGTACATTTTGTTTCATCACTACGATCTCCACAATCATTATGTCCATCACATTCCTATAAAAAAACAAAATTACTGTACCATTATATATTTATTTGGAAATATATAAATTATATACTTTTGAAAAAATACATTAATATAATACGTACAGTTACAACAAAAATTCATAGATTCTATTAGATACTAAACAGTTTTACTAATGACAAATTAGAGTTAAAAAAAATACCTTTAACTTGTCAATACAATTTCCATTATCACAAATAAATTTTCCTAGACAAAGAGCACTGTCCATTTCATAATAATTCCAATCTTTATTAGGTTCCAAAATTGTACTGCTATCATTTTTCGTTCTTTCATTCAATATACATGTTTGATCAACTTCACTAAAAATAATTCAATACTTATAAATTATAGTCAGGATATAATGGATAATGTTTACTGACTTATGTGAAAATGATAGGCACATAAATCCATTTGCTTGCATACAACGATTAGCACACGTATGAACAGTTGTATGAAGCCATTTTTCTACTTCGTGGTAGATTAATTTAGCCTCAGGAGTTTTAATAAAACTGTCTAAAGAATTAGAACAATTTTTTTCATCCATACCATTACTACAATCCTGAATATACAGATAAATTATATTACTATATTTATAAATAATTTCTACTAAATTAAATGTATAAAAATAACATAATTTTATTAGTAAAATATGTACCATTAGTATCTGCATTTTATAGAATATTATTAATATAACATGCAGATGCAATAACAACATTAACTTACTGCTTGATTATCACAAACCCAAGCTTGAGTGATACACTCATTAGGTTGACATTCAAAAAAACCCATATCACATTTTGGTTCTTCAATTAATGGCATGGCTAAAATGTAATAATATATGTATAATAATTGAAGTTTACTTTAATATTCAAATATTTTGTAAACAACCTCTAAATAATTTTGCAATAGAGTTACAAGGGGGTATGTCACAAAATTCACTTCGGACCATTCCTTCAGATGTTTGAACATAGCACCATGGCTGTAAATCAGTACCATCAGGATTCCTACACTTATTATGTTTATTTAATAATGATCTTCTAGTTTTTTCTGATACTCTATATTTCATGGCCATTAAAACTCTTTGATCTTCCCAGGATAAACAGGCGTTTCCAGTCGCAGTTGTATTAGCAGAACCAACATAGTCTGAACCAGCCCCAATTAAACAACCTAGAATATATTTCTCCAAATAAATAAGACTTGCATTATTATAAGAAACAATAAATACTTGAATATGCATTTTTATTGAAAAAAAAAAAAACTAACCAATATCATCAACATTTCTTTCACAAACATAAGGTAATCTATCAGTTTTTGTTCCACAATCAATTGCTTCCCAATAATAGTATTCAGAATCACATAATTTTGTGCTGTTTGGGTTAGAAGGACAAGGAAATGATTTTTGTAACACAATACATAATGCACGGTTAGATTTTATAACTGGTACAACAGTTTTTCTTAATTCCCAACCTAATTGCAAAATATATAATTAAATTGACTTACAATGTACATTTTTATAATTTTAATTACCTGGCCACCAATTTTGGTACACAAATGAATTTTCTGTACCTTCCCAAATCCATATTGGACTTTTTAAAAATGATAAGCCAACCCCAGAGGTTAGTATAGGACCTTCTGTTTTTTGTCTGAATAACCATTCAGATATAAAATCATTTTCTTTCTACAGAAAAAAACAAATATAATAAATTAAAATTTACAATTTTATATTATATTATGTTTTTGTGATGGCATAAGTAATACAATTGAAATTAATAAATACTTTACTTGAGAGTCAATGTCTAAAAGTTTTCCTCCTCGTTTGTGACAGTGTTCTAATGCTTCAGTTTTGCTGAATCCAACATCCTGAATAGTTTCATTTTGTTTTTCTCGAATAGGAACGAATAATTTATAACACTTTCCATCATATGATACTTCTTCTGGTTGACATTCTGACCCGGAATTTACTCGGCATTTTACCCAAACTGCATCTCTTTCTACATTGCAATTTTTACCTAAAAAAATGACAAATAATATGTTAGAGTATTATTAACAATGAGCAAAAAAATATGATTTACATATTATCAATTAGATCAGTGGTCAGCAACCTTTTTGGATCCTTGGGCCACATTCGAAAATTAAAAAGGGTTCATGAGCCAATACAAGAAATTGACATGATATTCAATAAAATTTCCTAATTTTGGAATTTAATGAGGGCTGCGTAATAGAAACGTGTAAGCCAGATATGGCCGCGGGCCGTCGGTTGCCAACCGCTGAAATTGATAGTTAATAGTTAAGTACATTAAAATCATATCAGATACAGCATGATATAATATCAACTCTAAATTAATTATTATTTAACAAATTACATATATTAATTAAATATATATTTCATCTTCTTTAATTAAGACATTTAAGAAAAATTATAAATTATAATTTACTAATATGTAAATTTATTTTTATATAATTAATTTTAATAAATATCAAAAAATATCAGGTTTATATTTTCTTAGTCTTACTTATATATTATAGGATAAAGTTAAAGAAAATTAAAATTTGATAACCTGTATTACATATATAATTATACATATATTAATTTTTTAAAATTATAAATTCATTTATAAATATTTACTTATAAAAAAGGGAACAAGTAATATAATATTACTATAATAGAAATTGAATTATGATGTTAGATACCTAAATGTAGAAAGATAAATACCCAAATTTGTATTTGTATGGGTGACTTCAAAATATATTGTCCTGAATGGAAACAATGTAAAATTGTTATCCTTCCTTAAGATATAATATTTATCTAAATAATGCTTAAAATAATTATAATAATAAATGTAGAATGTTTTATTTATATGAATAATAACATAACTTTTATGAAATTTTTATTTAGATTTAACACTTCAGTAATAGTTATATTTGATAGTAAAAATAATATGATACATAACTGAACATAAGCGCAACATGAGCCCAAATATTGGAGGTACTGAAATTTCTGAAAATAAAATTGATAGTATTTCACAGTAATTATAATGGATGGACCTAAAAAAAAATCAGTTTCTAAAGACCTTCTTGCACATTTGTAGCTAGAACAACATGAAGCAATATTTTATACATTGAAATTCAGAGGAATGTAAAATGTTTTTTATCTAATATTTATATACCAACTATAACTTTCAAGCATTTAAAATGTGATTGTTCAAAATTTACATAAATTATAGGTAGGTATAACTTGTTAATTTTTACTTACTATTTTGAAGTTTACAGTTATGAAATGCACTTTCTTGCCCATTGCATGATACTTTTGTAACTCCTATGTTTCTCAATAATGTAGTTGGATTATCAGTAGTAACAGTTAAACCTTGCCATGTTTGTTCTGATCCTCTAATTAAAATATAAAATAATTTAATATCAGAATCAGTTTAATTATAAAAATCAATATAAAGTGCTAAAATATTATACCAACTTATACCTTTTAAATCCAAGCTGTTTACAAACAATATCGGCTTTATTAATTGTCCAAGAATTTATTTCATCACAAACAACACCCCATTGAAAAGGTTTCTCTTGAACTTGTAAAAATCCTTCATTGTTTTTAGGACTTCCTCGTAATCTAATTGACTGAGTATTATTAGGTTTTAAATCAATTCTCACTGTTATATTATTTTTTATTAAATTATTCATCCCCTTAAGAGGTGTATCTATTATAGAAGAGTTTGGTAAAAAATTATCTGGTAAATCGACTGAAGATGGATTTCTCAAGACTTTAAACTGTCGATTTTCAGTAGGCAAAGTTTCTAATAAGGCTATATGGTCTTCAAAAGTTTCTTTTTCAGTTACTAAATCAGTGCTACTATTTTTATAATCAAATTGTTGTCTTAAATCAATAGGTAGGTTATAATCTTCAGTTGTGGCTGATGTAGTTGTAGTTATAACAATTCGATTACATTCTACATTATATGGATAATCACACACAGATATGGTAGGGTTAAATAACGTACCAGGACCACAATTCATTTCAAACTGTCTACCACTAGCACAACTTATAAATTTTGAACAATCTGTTGGGTGTGGTTTAATACCACTAAACCCTTTTGGACAAGAAGAAGCTGATGGTGGTGAGTATACGATGGATTTCTGAGAAGGAGATTGATTGTTATCTATGTAACTAAGATTTTGAGTCAAATCCAAATTTTTATTTTTGTTAAGGTATTGTATTGTATTATAACCAGAAGAACCTTTATCATAATTTAATTGTTTGGATGATATGGTAGTAGGTGAATTTTCTAAGGATAATGTTGGCTGTTCTATGTTATCAGCAGTATAAGAAACATTAGGAACCACTATTTTAAACTGTTTATTCATTTTTGAGTCTACATATATTTGTCTATTTTGAGGTCTTGGATATGAGTTTTGCTGTGATTCAGGTTGATTAACATTAGAAGAAGCTAAATAATCAGGTGAAGGATTTGAGTTATGACTATGACTATTTGATAATGATAATGGTTGTCCATGATCTAAATAACTTTGACTTGAGTCATAAGTATTCTGAATATGAACTTGTTTGTTCTGCTCTATTTGTTGTTCATGACCTAAATCAAAGGTCAATGATGGTTTGCTCAGAAGATTGTGAGGTTTTTGAAATTCTTCTTGTTGAATTTGTTCATCTGTATAACCATTAGGATAAGAATTTCGATTGACACCTTTTTTTCCCTTAAGCTGTCCTCGCATCCAAGTATTTGGATTAATGTTAGGAGGGTTTGATAAAATTGACTTTTGATTTCTGTCATAAACAGTTTGAGGAATAGGTAAATTTTCTTTTGGTGAAGGAAATCTAATATTTTGATGTTGATATTTTTGTTCTTGTTCATTTAAATAAGTATCTTGAGTTTCTGGAATATTATCATAATTATCAGGTGTATCATAATTAAAATGGGGTTCGTAATTGGATGTTTCAAAAACACCAGGTTTTTCATTATTATTTTGATTCAGTTGAAATTGAGATCCTTCAACATTTGACTGACTGTTTGAAATCAGAGAACTTTCTTGTGCTGGATTTGCAGGTCTATTATAAAAATTTTTTGATGGAAATAGATTAACATTTTGTCCAGCAGGAAACTGCTGATAAATTGATCCTGGATAATTTGTGTTGCTACCAATTGATGCTGATTTTGATTGTAAATTTTGTCCGATAGGGAACTGCTCTTGAATTTGTCCAGGATAATTTGTATTACCAAAAACTTGTTGAGGTTCAGTTAGAAGGCTTGGGTTAAATACTTGCTCATTAGGTGAATTATAGGGTGCAAATTTATGGTTTTTTTTCATGGGGCTAACCAACTGTGGTTTCCCTTCAATATTTGAATTAGCATATATATTATCTTGAAAATCAGAACTGAGATGTGGTTTATATCCTTCAGAATGTAAATCATATTCTGGGGTAACAACAGAATCAAAATGTTGGGAGTAATCATCAGATTTTAACTGTTTATTTCCGGTTAAAAGTGATGTTCCAGTTAAAGGGTAAGTAGATTGAGGTTGATCCTTATTTGAAAATTGAGGTTGATAATGGTTTAATGATGGAGGTTGGTATTGATTTAATGATTGAGGTCGATATTGATTATTATTTATAAATAAACGATCTTGATTGGATGTTTGAACATTTAAATCAAAATCTTGACTAGGATTTCTGTTAATAAATGATGAATCAACTTTTGATGGACTTCCATCCAGACATTGTACTTTAGCAGGAAAATCACATTCTAAACTATTAGGATTGAATAAAGTACCTGGTGCACATGATTGGACAAACCCACGACCTTTAAAGCAATTTAAAAATTTTCTACAGTCCGATTGAATTGGAAATAATGCAGTTGATCTTGGAGGACAATTTTCACCATCCCATAATGGAGCTGCATTATTCTAAAAAAAAAATTAAAAAAAATTAACAAGTTTGTTTTATTCCATAAAATAATTATTAAAATTAAATTCTAATATCATTGTTTATATTCTTTACATTAGATTGTTTAAAAATTGTAGAAGCTATAGGTTTATGTTCAGGTCTAAAGTTTCCTTTAAAGCCACTGTTTTTTATTCCAGTATTACTGTTAGCATTGAATGCTGCCCAATTCAATTGTTCTTCAGTAAGTGATGGTTTAGTTACTATTTCTGTATAAGTACCAATCTAATACAATATAAAAAATGTAAAAGTATATTTAAAATGTTTTATTTATATTTAAAATACTTACACACAATACTTCATAATGTAACAAAAATAAAATTGTTATTATAGTATAAACCTTCATGTTGACGTGCTAAGGTGAACTGAAGTCTAAAAGTATTACCATTATTCTTGGTTTTGTATGATGTTAATCTAGAGTTTAAAGAGCAAAGGTTAAAATAACAAAAGTGAAAAATAAGACAGTTATACATGCCGTTCTAATCTGTATGAATACCCTGTAATTAATAATATTGCTTTGTTCGATATACCCAGGGTATAGATAACCCATTTTTTATCTTTAATAAGAAAAAATTTATAACTTAAAATTGTATTTCTATAAAATAAACAAAATAACAACAATGGATATTATCTAAATTTCGATAAACCATAAATATAAGATGAAGTAAAATATTATTATTAACTATTTTTCATAAGAAATAAAATATTGATTAGAAAATATATAAAACTAATGATGTTTTACTCATGAGTCATGACAATAAAAAAAAAATCTTAAATTACATAATTTATCAAGACTAATTTTAAAATGTATAAATAATTTACATTAAGTAACCCGTATAAACAACTAAAATAGGTATCTGAAATACAAAATAATTTGTCAACAAAAAGTTAGTTTAGCAGTAGTTAAATTTAGATAAAATAAGTTTCTACCTACAGTTTTTTCTTAAATTATAATTAAATTATTACTTTAATAACTTGGTGTTCCAGCTACTACTAATGTTGGGTTGTGAAATGTATTCATCAAACAAATCTACATAAGACATTGCACCCAAACAATAATATATGTAGTAGATAAAAAATTGTGTACCTATTATTTTACAATATAGGTACTTTATAATTTATAAAACCTAAAGAACCAAACAAAATAACACATATATATCCAGTTACATGATTATTTTATGACTGAATTTAAAAGAATAAATAAACTGCATAATAGTAACAATAAGTCGAACATAATTTATAGAGCAATGTCTAATCTATAATAAATAACAAGTATTGTCTGCCTACAATCACATGATTAAAAAAAAAATTTAGAATACACACACATTTTAATAATATGGTATCAACATTCTACAAGATAATGCAAAGTAATTAAGATTAGTTTATTTGTGAAATAGGTATTTAAGTATTAATAAATGTTGTAAATTAAAAGATAATCTAAAATTAATATACCTACTGTATTTATAAAACGTTTATTGCTTAATAAAATATTTATCATAATATTTTCTTTAAACTATAATTTATTTACTTAAAAAATATCAAAATATTGATGTATTTATTTGTTATTTAACATATAAATGTTAATTGAGACTAAAAATAAACATTACACACAACCCATTCTGATTGATCAAAATTTTATAGATCAGAAATAATGGAAATTACAATGTACTACTTACATAAGAATTGCATACATTTTGCTAATTTTGTATCATGTATTTTTTGTCGCATCATACATGTTATTTTTTATAATAAAACAATATTGAGTGAAAATAATTCGTTATTATTTGAAATTATGTAGTAAGGTTCATATTTGCTCTTTGATAATATAAGTTGGGAGTCGGAATGTTAATTACTTATATTACTTATATATTTGAATGGAATGATGACCATCAAACAATACATAGAAAATCCGCTACGAAAATGAATAATATATTTTTAACAAAAAGTATATATGTGGAAGCAGTAAGACGATTCGTTTAAAAAGCAATTTGGTTTATTGCAAGATTGAAAAAATTAAAATTTACGTGAATACTCAAATATTTCGGCGATGTCAGTGGTCGAGACATTTAAAGATATAATGAAGGTAACAACCAAAGAAAATAGATTACAAAATTATAATCTTCCGAAAGTTTAGATCAACTCCGGAGCCCAACACAAACGTGAACGTTGAATACATATTTTCGCGATACCACCTGTAGCGCCTATTCTCAAAATTGTTATCGATAATAGGTAATATTAATAGAGCACTCAGAAGATTACTTACATAATAGGCAGTTCAATTATATATGATTTAACAGTATATGCAACACTTTCCATTAGAAAACCCTTGCCAAGATTTTATTCAATATAAAATGTGTAAGTAATTTGATAAAACTTCAACCGTCCAACTGTTAGTGTACAAAAACGTCAATTTCCGAGAATTGGCTATATATGTCAAAGCTTCAATATATTTGAGTTTACCATGAATGGTTAACAGATTTATTTCAAATTTTCTAAAATAGAGCAGTCGGCATTATGCTCTTATTAAATATCAAACACTGTGGCTCATTTTACCAAAGTGCCGATTAACGTTGGGGGTGAGGGTCATTAAATCAGTCAAAAAATATAACTATAAAAACCCCTAGAACAAGAGTGTAAGTAAAGATTATTTATGGGGGGGGGGGGGGGGGGAACTCTCAAAACCCATCCTTACCAACGCCATTGCACTATCATTCACGTCTCATTTTTTTTTAATTTACATGTCGATGACTTTATAAAAGACGTAATTATATTTTTATAATGTGGTGCCGACTTTGGAATTACTAAACTCTAGACTGTTAAATGACTGAGTTTTCCCCCTCCTCTCAATGACAACACTGATGGTTGAAACTTGAGCCATATTTAGAGAATAATATTTTTATTTAGCTTGGTTGTACAATATAGTTACAATATATAAATTATCATTGATGTTTTAGTCTTAATTTTTAGATCATGCTACATAACCTTAAATATTTTTGTTTCAAATAAAAAAATAATCTCCAACCACAGTCAAAACAATATAATCAAATATACATTGATTTTTTTTTTTAACACAGAAAACTCCAATAAGAGCTCCAATAAAGTAAATATTCACAACATATATTTAAATATATAATTAGGTAAAAGTTGTGTCATTGATGATTGGTTGCATTATCAAATACAGTACAGAGTAAAACCAGCAAACTAGTAAATATATTTGTATAATTTTAAAAATATTATAACAATTCCTTATAAATGTAAGTCCAATTCATTTTTTATTAATATATTCAAGAATATGAAAAATAAGGCTATAACCTAATGTATAACCATCAATACATTGATTGTTATTAATACATAATATTTTGAAGTAAAAATTATTTATATATGATTATTACCAATAACCTTATTATTACATATTAATATAAGGATTTAGATTTTAATACACTGGATGTGTATTATAACTGGAACATAACCGGATGAAACATTATATATTTGTGAATATAATTAATTAGTTATTAAAGATTAGAAATCAGATTTTAATGCATAATTAAATTATAAAAAATATGGAAAATAAAATAAATTTTAATAGAATAACAGTTAAGTTTAAGTTATGATGCAAAATATATTTATTATATTTATATATTTTCAAAAAAATAAAAATAAAAAGAATTTACATTTAATTAGACATAAATCGTAAAAAAAACAATCACAAATAAATTCAAAATTTTTAAAATAAAAAAAATATAATTTATTTTAAATATAATAAGATAGTTAGGTTACATAAGAAAAGAAACAGTTATTTTAAAATAATACAACATTTACTTAAATATCACTTGCAGCTCTTAAGGTAAAGGTAAAGGTATAATTTCTGTAAGTAATATTTATTTGTCCTCATCTTTTTCTTTATAAACAACTACACCTCGTGAAATTAGTTCTGGAATTTCAACTGCTAGCCATGGTCCCAACTAAAATAAAAAAAAAAAAAAAAAAATAAATGATTTATAGCATTTATTATATATCAAGCTTATTTAACACTTGATATGTGCATTTAAAACCAATTTAATATTATATATGATTCATAAGTGAAAAACTAAAAACTTACACCAAGTGCTAAAGCATGAGAAATGCCAAACTTTGGTACATTTCTAGCCCACAATGGTTTAAAATGATCAGAAAGACATATTTTACCACCACGATACATTTTAGCAGTTTTACCATCAAGTTCAGGTAATGCAATTTCAGGTGCTGTAGTTGGAAATGTAACTGGAATCTATAGAAAAATACTGGGTAAAAGTTTAAAAAAAAAATATCACACAACATGCAGACACCTTACATCAAATTCAATGTCAAATTCATATTTAAGTTGATTATGAAACACCCAACAGTTCCCAAACCATTTAGTTCCTTCCTTGTTTGATTCTAGACGAAACCAATCATTATCAGCTGCCTTGTTGTTTTGAACATACTATGAATAATTTAAAAATGTTTCATAGCAAATAATAATACATGTATCTTACAAAGTAGCGTATTTTTGAGGAGGAAAGGTTCTCAGGTTCCTTCTTCTCAGAAGAAAAAAAGGTTCAATCATAAATGACTTGTTATGAAGGTACAGAGAAAAAGAACATTCATTTAGATAATATGGTTGTCATTAACACTTAATTTTTTTGTTTATAGTACTTGAATAATATAATAGTACTAATGAATTTAATAGTACTACGAATAATATAATTGTTAATTCATACTCTAAATGCATTTTTGATAATATTATAAAATCACTAATTTTTTAGAAAAATTTAAGACCCCCAACAAAAATTTAAAAAATACGCCACGATTATATATTACCTTATATGTATTATATTGTACTTACTTGGATCAAAGACTGATATTCTTCTTTTAGTCGTTGTGGCCATAAATCTACATCTCTAGGACCTGCTTTTGTTTTTAGAAGGGGTATAGACGACAAAGCTTGTTTAGTTTTTTCCATTATGTCATAAGAATTAAAAATCTAGTTATGTCAAATTTAGCAAGTAGTAGTAATAGTTCTGTAATAATAGTAATGTACCAATTTCTGCCTTTCGAATGCTAAAACTAGTCCAACACGACAATTATACCGAATTAATTTAATGATAAACATTATAGATAAATGATAATAGATAAGGATGATCACGTGTTGGTTATTGAGGATAATTACCATAGAGTGATAAGGATTATAGTGAATTAACCAAATAAAATATAGTAATTGTTCGAATTTTCAATTATTAATGATAGGAATTTTGTATCAAAAAATTTGCCTGCCCAGGCAGTCACGGCTTTAGAGACTTATCGGGGGAGGGGACATTTTAAGTATTGACTGATAATAATTGTTTCCCCAAATTAGTACTGAGACACAGTGACTACGTTCCTGTATTATGATAAACACTTCATATTAATATCATTATATGGTTTTTTTAGGAAAAATAAAATTATTAAGTAGGTATCTAATTAAATAATCGGGATTTTACAGTTCACAAGGACAAAAATGTATAAAAATATTTAAATTTTTTAAAAGCCTCGAGGGAGGAGCTATGGAGCCGTGCCTGGACCCAGAGCGTAGTTGGAGCTCAATTAAGGGGAAGGCAATTAAAACATATCACAGGTATAAATACTTTATTATTGTATTTGGTTTAGACGGGTCCGTATTTAAATCATTGCTGCCCAAGGGTAGGGTCGGCGTTAAGGAGAGGCAAAACGGGGCATTTATCCAGGGCATCCCGCTTAAAATTTTAATTGAAAAATATTTTGTATGAAAATCTCATTAAATAAAACATGAAACGCGTGGATCGCCTGGCGAGTGCGATTTCTTGAGAATTTCGTTGGCATTCTACAAAACAATATTATATTAAGCCGGGTTTACACGACGCGAGTCAAGATTCGACATGTTTCGCTCTATCTGAACTTGCTTCGGATAATAAGCAAGTCAAGCAAGGATACCTTTGCGGTGAGCGGAAGCTTAGTTGGTATTTGGACGCGCATCAAAAAACATTCGCACATTTGTTTCGCGTCGTATAAACTACTTTGAGCGTCTTGCCTCACACGTAGGGATGGCAATTTATTTGTGACGATCGATGTATCGATTTATTTATTACAAAACATCGAAGATGACAATATCAATAAATTAAAAACCATCGAAATCGAGAACACAATGTATTTAGAAAAAAATCGATGTTTTATAAAAAACAAACATACATTTTATAGGACAAAAATGATTATTCCTTGCCATAGCCCACAAGCTAAATTAATTATAAACATATCAACTAAATTTATTTACTTATTTATTAGAAACATTAAAAAAAAAAAAACATTGTGTAAAAAAATTATATAAATACAATTCACAGTCAAATATAATCACAATAAATTCGTAAGTTATAACAACATTTTTATATATTATTTTAAATGGAAACCAATGTTGTCATTCATATTGAAGTCAAAATTGATCGGGTAAGTTGTTTAAAAAAATCAATTTTGATGTCGATTTTCTACATAATCGGTTTCATTTATTTATTTTTGGGAAACATTTTAGTTTACTTCTATAGTTAGGTATTATAGAATTACAAGGCTATTATATTATTTTTCTAGCGATAAGACTATATTATTATGAATTAAGATTAAAATACAGTCATCCTGACTTGTTTTATTAACCAAGTTAATATTAAATTATAATTATACGTATATCTATATTTTATTGTTTGCAAATGAATAATTTTAAAAATATTTTGTGAAATACCTATCCTTGAACATAAGAGATAAAGCAAACATTGGTAAACGTAACACATCGATGCAAAATATAGAAACTTAACCATCGATGTTCAACATCGATTTTTTTTAGTTTAAAACATTGATGTTTTTTTGATATCCCTACCAGAGATATATAAACATGTTTATATATCTGTGATCCTTACTCACACGTAGCGCCATGGATCAAAATCAATGGACTGGCACACGTTTTGCCACCATCGTTGCCATGCATAAATTGTGCTTGCCAGTGGCGTATTTAGGAATTTTAGGATAAGGGCAACACATATTTTGCCGCCTCCCCCTCCCCCAGTAAAAAAAACTAAAGAACTTTTGTCGTTATTTTTTAATAAAATCTGTAAATTGTACACACTCATTTATAAAACATATTGCTAAATCATTTGGGTAAGTTTTTTGCAATACTTCAGCATCTTCTCTTACTTTTTTTGGAGTAATTTCATGTAACTTAAAAAAGAAAAGAAATTTTTTCACTAATTCATCATAAGCAAGTTTCCTTCTTTTTAATTCATATAATTGCTTGTCAAGTATAACATAATAAGTATTTATAATCAAATAGTCTCGTTTTGAAAATAATACTTCATTATCATTATTTTCATCAGTATGTATTTTCCTTTTTCTTTTCCGTTTATTATGATCGTTGTAATCCTATATTTCAGATTATTTTATGGCAATGTCTTCTAATATTTTGAAAGAATTTTCATTTCTTAAAAATTCAATATAATGAATTAAGGATTGATATAGTTCAACAACTGTAATTAAATCTATGTCAACAGACTGTAGCTTCTTACTGGTTTTATTTACACGCTCTAAAATGTTAGTCCAAAAGATTGTCATAAATACTGTTTCAAGGCTGTTGATTTTTTTAAGTAAGCTAACAGCTTCTGACCTTGTTGAACGTTTTTCATTAATATTATTTGAAATTTTATGTAGTGCTTGTACTATATTATTCCAATTTTCGGATAAAGAATGACAAGCATCATCACGGGCTGACCAACGGGTTGCTGAAGGACTTTTCACGGTTCCTTCTAATTCAGACCATCTATGTGTGGAAGCTGTAAAAAAGTTATATATATTTTGAATAATGTCAAAAAAATCGCATGCTTCACGTCATGCACTAGCTGCACATGTTCCAATGTGAATGAGTAGCACAAGGAATAAAATTGGCTCATAGATTATTTCTTTAATTCTGGCTTATAAGCCACTATATGCACCAACCATATTACTTGCATTATCATAAGATTATGCACGTAAAAATGCTGGATCAAGATAAAAAATAGATAACGTAGTTAAAATTTCATCAGTAAGTTCTTCCGATTTACGTCCACTGTTATTCAAAAAACACATAAACCGTTCAATAGGTGTTCCATCATTTTTAATATACCGCACCACAAATGATAATTGATCAACATGCGATATATCTGGCGTTGAATCCACTATTATTGAAAAGTATTTTGCTTTTTGAATTTCTTCCACTATAACTGTAAAAACCTGATCAGCCATTACAGTTATAAACTGTTCAAATATATTAAGTGATAAATAGGTTAGGTTAATTAAATTAGGCTTTTCCTTTATTGCCAAATTTTTCTATATGTGTAGCTAGAAATGGGTCAAATAGGGCAATTAGCTCCAAGGACATTAAAAAATTACCAATTTGATTACAACCAAATTTATCAGTTTTGCTAACTCTCCTTAAAAAATTTTTCCAGTAGTTATTTTCTCCTTCTATTTGTGATATTAAAGTACTATCAATTCTTTGAGCTACTTTTCCTCTGTCTTTCATAGTTAAGACATTAGTTTTTCGAGTGAGAATTCCTATGTGAGGTAATTCTTTTCTCCAATCAGAAAACCCTACTTTTGAAAACACTGATGTCGAACTAAATAATTTACAAGGAGCACAGAATACTGACCCAGTACTTTCAGAGTAAACAAAGTAATTTCTCTTCACTTTTTCACCATTAAGAAGGACCATATAAAATAATGAACAATATCGGTAATGTACTTTAAGAACTCCATAATTAACATTTTTACTTGCTCTTTTTGATTTTATAAAGTTAATAGTTTCAATATTTTGAGATATTCCATTAACTGATATATAATTTCTTGTTGCATCATTAACACACCAGTATGCGGGGTCATCACTTTAAAAAAATATATAATTTAAATCAATTATAATGATAGAAATATTCAGTTAAAAATATATATATATATATATATATATATATATATATATATAGAATAACTACCTGGGTGATATCAAATTGCTAGTGATATTGTCAACATAACTGTTATTGAAATCAACAAAACCAACAGAGCAATGTTTTTCATTTGAATCAACATTATCAATATCATTAGATTCAATTATTTTATTTTTTTCATCATCTGAGAAAAAATTGTATTCATATTATTAAGTTATATAACTATAGTTAGTAGTTACATAGTTATAGTTACATTCAGTGGCGTAGCCAAGGGGGGGGGGGGGCTAAGGGGGCTATAGCCTCCCCCATGGGCCGTGTTTATATGTATAATGTATCTTGACTATTTAATAAACTCAATGCTCGTTTTAATCAAAGGCTTATTGATGTTATGCCCCTTGAAGGATTTATTCCGGCCAATTTAAATATGTATGACGATAAAAATATTATAAAACCTGCTAAAATATATGTCCAAGATCTCCATGATAATACCTCATCTACAATAAGAGCTGACCTGTTCATATGGGGGCAACAATGGAGTCAAAATACTATTCCAAAACCGAATTCTGCTCTTGATTCACTCTCTCATCGCACCAATCTTCGACCTAACATTAAAATACCTTTACAATTATTCTCCACGTTACCAGTTACCTCTTTCACTCCGGAAAGAACGTTTTCAGCACTTAATCGCTTAAAAATTTTTTTAAGAAGCACCATGTCGGAAAACAGACTGAATGGGTAAGCTATGGCTAATATAAATAAAAAAGAGCAATTCGATGAAAGTGAAATAATAACTGAATTTGCCAGAAATTCGCCTAAGAGAATGCAGCTGTCAGAGTGGAGCAAGTGACTGAACACTGAAACCAAAATTATTATTATTATTATAAATTATATATTAATAAATATTTTTAAAACTATACTAAAATGCTTGAATTACGTTTAGAAACTTGGTAGTAGATGGGGGGGGAGGGGTTAAGGGTGAATTCTCATATCCTATCTTACCTTACTTATCCTAAAAAAAGTGGTTAGCCCCCCATTTAAAAATCCTGGCTACGCCACTGGTTACATTTATATTTATTAGTATTTTAATTAATATAATATTCAGTTCATATGATAAATTTTAAGTATAATAATTATGTGAATAATGAATAACTTGTTATGATAATTGTATTTAAATACTTTTCAATTACTTTTTACTAGTTGGTTGGCCAAAATTAATTTTATATTTACTAATTTAAAATTGTAATGTTAAATTCAACAAGAAAGGTATTATTAGACATTTTTGTACCAATTATGAGTGAAAAAATATTATAAATAAAATAGTAAATCTTTCAAAATAAATGTGTGACAACAGACGAATAATTCGTTTGGATTTTGAAAAGATTTTGAAAATCAAATACAAATTCATAATATATCTAAGATTGTATTTAAAATACTTAATTCAAAAAGTATTCAAAATACTATAAAAACATTTAAATACATTTACTCAAATACTTTACCTGACTGGTATATAAATATGTAGAAGTATTTAGAAATATTTTAATTAATATATTCAGTGTACCTATAGGTTATAAATATAATTTATTATTATGTGTTTAAATAATAATTTGTAGTAATCAGTGGCGTAATTGGGGGGTCGCAAGAGGTCGCACTTTGAGGCCACAAGAGGTTTGCAACATATGAGTTGCAAAAGTATTATTTTGCAACCCCTGAAAATTCCATTTTTATGGTTTATCGCTATATAATAAAAAAAATTAAAATAAGTAATTATTTAGTTAAATAATTATAAAAAAAAATGTTGCAGAACGAGAAAATTGAGACGATAATAACATTGATAACAATACGACAACATAGAAGTTTTAATCTAAAAATATATTATATAATATAAGATATAATATCGGTTTTAATTATGTTATAATTATAACAGATTATGTGATTTAAAATTTGAATAAATGTAATGTTTACGCCTAATATATTAATTATAAAAAATTTAAATTTATAGTTTCTAATAACACGTATTTATACATAAGAAGAATTATATAGATTTAATGTACTTTATATTTATAGGATATATTAATATGGTTATATTAAAACATTGTTTTATAATGTTTGTGCATCCTGAGTAACTTTTGCAACTCCTGATTTATTTTCCGATTCACGCCACTGGTATTAATATTAGAAAAATAATAATTTAGATATTTGGATAACCTAAAAACATTTTATTTTTTTAATATATATTCATATATAAAAGTGTAACTTTTGAAAATGAATACATTAATGTATTGCATACTTGCATGCAAGAATATTAGACAAACAAAATTACAAATTAATCAAAAATATTTGGCAGCCAATTTGGTATTAAAAAATATTTATAGTTATTAGTTTCTAGTTTTACGAAGTACTAAGTAGTAAGTTGTAGGTACTAATCTATGATAGCATTGGATTGCGTCTTCTGCGAAGCTTGTGAAAAAAAAATATTAATTTTGGATGTTTTTTCCATTAAAGAAGCATACTTTATAGCCTTATACTTTATAGCCTTTGTTGCGGTCTTCTTTTTGTATCCTGATCCGCTAAGTTTTTATCTAAAACCCATGACTAGTGTATAAATCTTATACCTAATAATTAGTAGGAAATAGCCAATAGGTATATGATCTCAGATCTATATCTTGTAGATTGAACTACAAGTTAATGAAGGAAAAACGAAATACTTAATAGTATCACGTAGAGAACAAGTACAAAATTCGTTAGTAGTCGGTGGATTTACATTTGAAAGGGTAACAAACTTTAAATACCTAGGAGTAGATGTTAACCAACAAGCAAACAGCCATGATGAGATTAAAAGGAGAATAAATGCAGGAAATACGAGCTATTTTGCGCTCGTGCCTATAATTAAATCAAGATTAATCTCCAAAAATACAAAAAATAAGACTATATAAAGTACTCATAAGACCTATAGTTTTGTATGCTTGTGGAGCATGGGCATTAACAAAGTCGGACGAGAAAAGATTACTACTATTTGAAAGGAAAATACTGCGGAGAATTTATGGACCCAAAAGAAACGAGGAAAATTTATATGAACGAAGAACTAATGCAGAATTAAGGGCAATGTTCAACGAGCCAAACATAGTGGGAATACTTAAAAGTAGACAAATAAGCTGGGCCGGGCATGTATGGAGAGCGGAGGGCCAAACAGTACATGATGTCACAATGTGGAAACCAAATAAGAAACGACCGATAGGGAGGCCAAGGCAGCGATGGACAGACCGAGTTAAAGTAGACCTCAAGCTCCTGGGGATTAGAGAGGGAGAACAACTGGCGAAGAACAGAGAATTGTGGAGAGGTGTAGTAGAAGCGGCGATGGACCTTCAAGGCCCGGAATAAGCCAAAAAAAAAAGTTATAAATATTGATTAAAAAATATTTTTATTATTTAAAACTAAATTTATAAAAATATTTTCCCTAAATGAGATTATTATTCTCAGATTTTTAACCAGAGTACAGTACAGGTGAAAGGTGATTTTATATACATAAAGACTATGATTTTTTGAATAGATTTAAAAAATTACCAAAAACCATTGTTTCTACTTGTTATTTTACTTTTTTAATAACATTTATAAAATAAAATAATATCCTTTATTTATATAGAGAATAAATTATCATACTATTTTAAATATGTCTGAACGGTTATTTTCACATTTTCCACTGTTATTATATTATAAATTGACCTACCTAAAAATTATGATTTACGACTTACGAGTATGTAACTTATGACTTATTAGTTGTAGACACGCCTTTCAATTATAATTTTAGTCTATAGCAACACAATAGAACCTTCCAGAGGACAAATGGGTTTTTCAATTAAAGACACTTCATAATACAATGATTTGATATGATTTTAAATTTGATATCCAAATAAAGAGCCTTATTTAAAATAAAATATTCTCCATTAATAAATTGGTGTTATATATTTTTTTGATCAATTAAATTGAAAATCCTTAAACCACAAAATATAATGATAATTATAATTTGTATATATATATATATATATATATATATATACATATAGATATATATAACTTGTAAGGATACAAGAAATTCTGAATCAATAGTTTTTAATAGTATATTAGCGCACGTTGCTGTGGAATCATTCCAATTAGGAATATTTTCTGTACCTATGATTCAACTACGAATGCAAATAGTTCAATGAAATCTGTTACCGCATCATAATGCTGCAACTATCGTGTAGCACACAATCTTTTTAAAGTTTTAACCTTAGTATCCTCATTACTATTTTCAATGTTGGTTAAAAGAAAATTTTGACAATTTGGTGTATTAAAGAAAACATAGACGTTTACGGATAAATATTTATAACTGGGTTTTTTTTTTTTAGTTTCGTAATAATTTATAAGTTTGTATTTGAGCTATTTGTAAGTTTAACAGGGCCGGATTAAGCACAGAGCCTGAGAGCCTGGGCTCCAAGCCTTGAAATTTTGAAGGCCCCGAAGGGGCCTTTTATTTCAGACCAAGTTCAAGTCCCGAAGAAATGATACATTTTACCAAATTAGTTGATGAGCAAGACGAAAAAGGAAAAATTAAAATGCCATCAGCACTAAAATGTCTTCAAATTATACACGATAATTGACTCAATTCAGTGTTTCCTAATGTGGAAGTAGCGTATAGATTGTATTTATGTTGAAATTGAAAAATTGAAAAGAGTGAAGAACGAATTGAGGTCTACCATGAAAAATCCACGCTTGAACGCTTTATCATTAATGACCATTGAGAGGTCTCTACTTAAAGAAATAAATACAAATGAAATAATTGTGGAGTTTCAAAAAAAGAAAAGAAAATAAGGTACCTAATAAAGTTAATTTTAAAATATTTTATTTTTATTTTTACATTTAAACAATAATGTTGTATATTTGTATGTAACGAAAATTAACTAATATTTAAAGATTAAAAAAGATATATCTGTACCTACAATCAATTAATTTATATCATTTTTTTAAAGAAATAAAATTCAGTTATTGGTAATTAATAGTGTATGAATTAAGGGCCCTTTGGACTACTGGGTTCCAGGCCCGGTAAACTCTAAATCCGGTCCAGCCTACATTTGTTTAAATTATACTGTAATTAAGTTTGCAATTTGGTGAAATACCATAAAATACGGTCGATGGATGGGGGGGTGTTCCAATACCCATACACCATACCTCCCCTAAATAACCCCTGTTTATATAACAGAACAATATATCAGGGGCATCATTTGGGGGGGGGCAGGAGTATGCATTTGCCCGACCCTAGATTTTAAAGTAGCCAAATGGGCCGGTGTCCGGGTTTTCTATAATAATCAATATAATCTTAAATCTACTGACTATTCTAGAATATACTACATAATATAAAAATAGAAATTTGTGGTATATCATAATAATATATTAATTAATACGTTATTATTATTATTATTTATTATTCTATTCTATGGAACTATATTCGTTATCTCAACGATAAAGTTAGTTTAAAAACCACGATAAAAAGATCAGCTATTGACGTCGTAGACCGTGGTAACCAGTATAATGTAATGTAACTATGACAGAGATATGACTGATAAGAGCATAGCACTGTAAATGTTCGTTACCAATAACATTTTTTAAAATGACCAACGAATTTTGAATTTTTCATTTTGAATTTGATTTGACTTAGTGTGTACTGTGTACAAAATAAAAATTTGGCTAGCTAGCGAGCGGAGCGAGCGCCTTTTTTTTATATACAATTAAAAGTGTTAGTTATAGGGCCAGTCATTATTATGCCCTACCCTATCAAATATTGAAATGACGCCCCTGCAATATATACCTACCTATTTCAATTAAAGCATTATAATACATCTATAGTGCTCTATTTCAATATGCGGAACGATTCTAGTTTAGCAACCTATCGATTTTTAAAATTTTTTTTTTCCAAAATGTGTGTTTTAGGGTGCTTTATAAGAATGTAAAAAAAAAAAGCCCGGACAAACTTAGCTTTGAAGTTATTGATCAAAAACTTCAAAAACTTCATTTTTTCGTTACGCGCATTTTTAGTTACAGGTATTAAAAGTTGCCTTATTTATGAAAAAATGTAATACAGGTAAACAGGTAGTTACAATTTTATACGAGAAAACAACGACCCGTTTCGCGTTCAACTCCACCAAATACCCACTGGCCTTCAACGCGATGTCCTCTGTGGTATTTTCGCCTTCCGAATTTGGATTCATCAATTTCAACAATTAACCCCGGTCCACCTACATACAGAGTATTTTTTAAATTGCATTTTTGTTGCACTGAGTCACCGAGCGGGGTCACTCGCTCGCTGCGCTCACTCGGACAATTAAAAACGAAAATATCCCCCGGCTTGCTGTGCAACACCTCCCCAAGTGGGTCACAGGGTTAAAAAAATTGCATTTTTGTTGCACCGAGCCACCGAGCGGGGTCACTCACATGCTAATTTCCATGCTCACTCGGACTGTTTAAACTAAATTGAGTACTTAATCTTCTACTTACCGATTTTTTGGTGTCGTAGTATCATACCGTCAAATACGACTTCTCGGTGGAACGAGGCCCAATCAACAGATGATTGCCGAGCTATTTTAAGTTGATTACGAATAAATTCTAGTGACACTTTTTCGGTCCACAAATACGCGAATGTCACAATTTGATATATAGACAAGTGGGACTTTGAAAAAAAAGTGCACTTTCGGATTGATTGGTAAAAATTACACTTCACTTTCTTTTTGCTGCTGTTGATATATGTTTGTTTGCATCGCCAAACGACACCGTCACAATAAGATGTGCTAGGACACAATTCTAAAAAGTGTCCTTTATTACATTTTATGACATTATTTTTTGCAATAAGGCCCCAGGACTGTAAAACACTTATAACCGACATGGACAGATGGCCACTCGTTTTATGTTCGAATATTTCATAAATTTCAATGATCGATGTCATTTTAAATTTTTAACAAAATAAAATTAAAACTGAACAACAAAATACTTTAGTTTAACTCGACTAAGTAATCAATCGTAATGACGATCATGCATTTTGCTATCGGACAAAATAGTACCTATCTATAATATTTTATCTTTTTTTTTTCTTGATATTATGATAATTAAATACACATTATTTGTATATATTTAATATGATGAATTTAATCTTAATATTATGGGTTTGTGTTTGTGTTCCACCATTAATGATGCTACTATTTTGGTAAATACCAATAATAATTTATTATATTAGCTTTATAAAATAATATAATTGTAACTACCTGTTTACCTGTATTACATTTTTTCATAAATAAGGCAACTTTTAATACCTGTAACTCTAAAACTAAGCCAGATAGCACAATTCTGACTTCACTGAAAACTTTTCCAACTAAAACTGTATATATTTAAAAAAAAAAATATTAAAAAAACTGATTTTCGGCTAATTTTAGAAAGGATTTATTATTAATTTTGAAAATGGTATTTTTCAATGTTTACGTGCAAAAACTTCAAAAGTAAGTATGTTAGGTAAGTTTTGATTTTACCAATCTATTAAGCGTTAAAAACCACACATTTCGAAAAAAAAAAATCTAAAAATATTCAATTCTAAGTATTTTTTTTTTTTAAAAAAATGCGCGTAACGAAAAAATGAAGTTTTCGAAGTTTTTGATCAATAACTTCAAAACTAAGTTTGTCCGGGCTTTTTTTTTTTTTACATTCTTATAAAGCACCCTAAAACACACATTTTGGAAAAAAAAAATTTTTAAAAATCGATAGGTTGCTAAACTAGAATTATGCCCAATATGCTTATATCTTAATAAAATACAAAAGGACATAAGAACAACGTCAACTATTTTTCGGAGATGACAAATTGAAGCCAAACATTTTTCATATTCATTTGGTCCAAATAAGGCTAAAGAAAATTACTGAGATTCGTAAGTATTCTTGTATGGTTACAACTATAGGCGTAACTTGGAAATTTATTAGAGGAGGCAAAAATATAATTACATATCTAATGATATGTAAATCTTAATAACTACATAAATAAAACGGATGCATTTTTAAAACAATGAATGAGTTTAGATAATACATTTATATAAGGCAGCAAAACTACAATTTAAACTTAGTAATACAATAAACAGTTACAAACAATTGTTATTTACATTCAAAATTAAAATATTAACTAATAATAAAAATAACTCATTCAGTGCATAAATTTAAACATACACATATACATTTATTACATTTTTAATATATTAAATATTGAATGAAGTGTTTGTTATTTATGAAGTATTGTTGATAAAATGCAGATCAATAATATTTAACTTACAATTTTTTAAAGAACTCAATAGTTACACATTTTAATCCCTTTGTTGAAAATATTAATATGATTCAATAAAAAGTTTTATTATAAGTATAAATATGGATATTGTACCCATAACTTAAAAATCATGAAATACAGTAAAAAAAATATATTTGAAAGAAAAAATTCACAACTATTATTTTAGTAGTATTAACGGTATATTTAGAAAATCCTGTAAAAAAAGAAAAAAACAGCAATAATATTTCAATACAAAATTGATTATAATATATATTAAATTTAAAATTACTTTTTAGTATTCTCTTATTCAATATCAACATTTAAAAACTAATAAGTAATTATATATAACTATAATTTAATATATTTTTTATAGTTATTATATTTACATGGTTCTTAAATTAAATAAACAAAAGCATGATGTGATGATAAAAAACATTCAGTGTAAAAAGAAATAATAAAACTTAAATATTTTAAAATAATTTGAAGAGTATAATATGATTAATTATTACCTAAAATATCAGAATAATTTTAAGAAAATTTAAGGTTACTTTATTATTTCATTTATAAGCTATGCACACAGTTAAATTAAATATGATGTATGTCAAATATATTCAAGAATTCAAGAACCTAAAAAAGTTAATGTACCTCAAAGTATACATATATCAAATATTTAATACTCATAAAATAAATAACATAAATTAAATGTTTAACCACTTAATCTACAGCTGATTATATTAAAATTTGAATACTCACTGAATATTTCAAATATTACAGTATTTTGTTAAACATGTATATTTAACTTCAGCTACATGACACATAATTCTTATTGCTAAATTTATTTTACACCTTAAGTGTTTTAGAAGTTGTTCTTCATTTATTAACATAAATGCTACACCGTCAAATTTCTAGAACATTAATAAATTAAAAATGTCAGTAAATAATTGTTATCAGTCATTGATATTGCCTACTTCTAAATAGAGCTTTCTGGCAATATTTATACAATACAAATCACTTGACAAATAATGGTAGACATCATTAGGAGACCAATATTTAGGATTTGATGTGACTCTTATTGTTTCAAAATGACCAATATCAACTTTATACTTTTTAAATCTTAGATCTTGGCGATAGTGGTTCTCAAACGTTAATCTCCTATAAAGTATCAAATATTATTTTATTTTATTTCACTTTTATAACTAACTAGGCACTTAAATGTAGCATTATTTATGATAAATCTTGTAAGTTCTATATGTCCAGCAGATAATCTTCTATCTTATGATTAAAGAATACAGAATAGGCCACAATGCCCATTTTAACAATACCTAGTTTTTTAAAATACACTACATAACATACATTATGTATAATGTTAATAATTATTAATAAAATAATATACCATTCATTGTAAATTATAATTTCTTGGTCACTTCTATCAATATCTGATTTAGTGTTGCTGTAAGTATCAATTTCATCTAACATACTAAGATAACTTTTTTTTGATTGAATTTCAGATATAATGGATATTTCAAGTTCAGTATAACTTCGATCTAATCTTATCATATGTGCTTCATAATTAATTATACAGCCCAAATAATAATAATATCTTTCAACTAATGGAGTATTTGACCAATCTAATTCGTCTACAGCTAAAAATATTTACATTTAGTATTAATTTAATATATTAAACAATGTTAATCAACTAAGTTATTAATATTTTGAGTTATTTATAAATTCAAGAATGAAAATGATAAAAATAGTATAACGAACAATATGAAGTGTATACATACCAACTTTAGTGATTTCTTGTTTTAATGTTAAACGACTTTCACAATTTTCTAAGTCTACATTAATAAATTTCATACTATTTGGTGCAATTTCTATACAAGATTTTGATTCTGAATCTAAAATAATAGAATGCACATAAAGAAAAAAATACTTCCTTTCAAAACGAGTATTAATAATAATAAATTATAAGACATAAAAACATACCATATTCAGTAATTTCATTTAGAGTTGAATAACTATTAAAATAGTCAGAGTAAAAAGCAGCATTAGCTCTTTTTCTATCAAACTTTTCACCATTTGACTTTGATTCTATAGAATTAATTTTAAATCAAAATTTCAAGTACAAATAAAAAAAAAATTATTATTTTAATATTGATAATAAAACAAAAATTATAACATACCAAGTATTTTATAGATTTCGTCATTCAAAAGAAACTGATCATCAGAAGAGTCTGAATCTATAGAAATAGATGATGTAGCCCTTTTTATACCATATTTTATATATCTTGGCTTAGTTTCTAAATCATAAATTATAAGTTTAGATAAAAAGCCAATATAAAATAGTTATTATTAATAATACAGAAAAGTATTAGGTAAAAATAAAAACAAAAATTATAATACAATTTTTAGGTAGTTAATATATTTTAAATAATAAATATTTTTTTAAAAATAATTGAATAATTCTATTATTATAAATTAAATATAAAATTCAAGTTATTGCTTGGATTATTATTTTCTAAATTAATTTTTATTCCAATCATTGAGAAAAGGCATGAAGACTGTACACGGGGAGGGCATAAATAGTCATCACAAACTAAAATTGTTATTTAATTATGTAAATTGTATATAAACAGAGAAAAAAAATTTAAAACCGTACTACAATACATTAGCCCAATAAAGGATGGTACTGACAAGGGCATTTATATTAGTTTTGTAACTTAAATAGTCTATTTACACTATAACTAAATAAAGTGAAGAGAAAAGTTATATAAATTAATATTATCAATCAAAGAATTAATAGACATAACATATAGTTTATTTAAGTATTTAAATGTATAAAAAAAAGTTGTAATTTTTTTAATTACAAAGGAGTTGTGAGATAAGAATCTACAAGAGAGTTGTAGAATGAAAAAGGCTGGAACAACTGGTATAAATAATTGCACACATATAATACAATTTCAAACAAGAACATATTTTATTTTTATTCATATTAATATTATTAGAAATATTTTTACGAAAAGTAAACTCAAGTATTTATAAAAATTTGAATATAATTAATCGATTGATTTCTTCACTGGGAATTAAACTATTCTCAGAACAATGAAAATCAGTCAATGGAAACATTACATTTAGCTCTTTTTCTATAAATATTCATACTTTTTTTTTTTTTATATATTTGTTTAGTTCCCAAAATTCCAGTTCCAATATTAGATTTTGAACCGAAATAATAAAATAATAACATACCAAATCTATTTAATTCTTCATTTTCATTTACAGAATTGTCAGAATCAATGGAAATAATTGATTCAGCTCTTCTTCTAGAAACTTTCATACTCTTTGGTTTGGTTTCTAGAAAAGTAATTTTAATGCAAGAATAAAATATTTTTTATATTATTATAAATAATAGTCAAAAGTAATAATATTAATAGAAAATGATGACATACTAAATATTTTATTAAATTTTACATTTGGATTAAACCAATTTTCAGTACATTCTGAGTCAATAGGAATAGGAGATTTATCTTTTTCTTCAGTAATTTTCATACTAATTTCCTCAGTGTCAACAGTATCTATTATTAAATTGATTTTTGTACTTAGAAAATGTCATGTTAATGTTATAATATATTTTTTCACTTGCAGTGAAAAGAAATATTAATAACAAATTTATAACATACCAAATAAATAAGGGTTTTCTTCATTTATAATAAAACGCTTTTCCAGACAGTCAGAGTAAAAAGCAGCAGCAGATGAAGATCTTTTTCTAGTAAATTGTAAAGGATTCGGCTTGGTTTCTAGAATATAAATTTAAATTTATAACCAACATAAAATAATTATTATAACTAATACAAAATGATAATAACAACTATAACATACCAAATATTTTAATGATTTCTTCATTTAAAGTAAGTTGGTCCTCAGAATAGTCAGAGTCAATAGAAACCATAGGATTAGCCTTTTTTCTAGAAACTTTCTTATTCTTTGGCTCAGTTTCTAAAGTATCTATTTTTAAATTGGTTTTTGTACCTGAAGATTAAGTGTAGTTGTTATTATAACAATTATTCATCATTTTTTGAAAAGCAAAAGTAATTATACAAAATTATACCATACCGACTTGTTGGATTTCTTCATTTAGAGTTAAATTATTCTGAGAAGATGATGAGTTTGAAGAAACAGAAAGTTTAGCTTTTTTTCTTGGCACTTTGATAGCACTTGGATCAGTTTCTATAGTATCAATTTTAAGTTTAGATTTAGAACCAATAAGCAATTAATATTACTAATACAGAAATGTAATAATAATTACAACAAACCAAATGTTTTGACGATTTTTTCATTTATGGTAAAATGGTCCTTAGAAGCCATAGAAGCAGCAGATTTAGTTCTTTTTCTAACAACTTTTATACTCCTTGGATTAGTTTCTAAAGTATCAATTTTGATTTAGAACTAAAGTAATATAATTATAACATAACAAATTTATTAATTCCATTAATTTGATTTCAATCGTTCTCAAAATAATCAGATTTTATAAAAATAGAAGGTTCATCTCTTTTTTATTTTTTTTTTATTAATTTTCTAATATTTGACTCAGTATCTATTTCTAACTTTGATTTTAAATATAAAAAATATATTGAGTACCTTATAATGAGGGTAAGAGTCTAAATACTGATAAATGCTACACCAGGACCAAATCCAGGAATTTTTTATGAGGGGGGGGGTCCAAAATTTTTATTTTATCTGTTCTCTTATTATAATTATAATTATAGTTTAACTTAATACCAATAAATTACTGTTAATATACTATACTATAGTAACTATAGTATGGTTTACGCATTATAGGTATATTATATAATCCAGTGTTTCCCAACATTTTTTGACTCAAGGCACCCTTTTAGATTTAAGGCAGGGATGGCCAACCCAAATGATCTTGCGGGCCACTTTGTAAATACATTACAATCCTGCGGACCACATATAGGGTTGCCAAAAAAAGGTCATCAGCCAAAATTATTAATATAATCACAAATTTTTATATTTCTATCAGATTAGATTAGAATTATTATTTTTGTTGCAATTACGTTGTTAATAATACAGATACCGCGTTGCGCGGACATTCCAGAATATTCTATCGGCGCAAAAATAATTTATTTTTTGTAAATATTTGATAAATGTCGCGGGCCGCAAAACTTTCTAAGGCGGGCCGCGGGTTGGCTATCCCTGATCTAAGGTTTTTTTCATGGCGCCCTTCTCTAAATCATAGTATGACTAATCATAAGGAAAATTTTAGACTAGATAGTATTTCATGACAGCGCGGCGCTCCTGTACAGACATCGCGGTGCACCAGGGCGCTGTGGCGCACACTTTGGGAACCAATGATATAATCTATAAAATTTGTACATTGAAGATAATGGGAAATTAAAATAAACAATAGTGCAAATAGTATGTATATATATATGCTATTATTATATTATTTACTATTAAACCATTGAGTATGTAGAAATTTTAATGGGGGTTTGGGCCCAACTCCCCTCCCACTATCTTGGGTACACTCTTGTGCTACACTAGGTATCCGGATATCTCACTGTCAACATTTCATAATGATAGAATAAATAAATAAAATAAAATAAATAATCATAGGATAATCTCCTATTTCTAAGGCATTAGCTATATGCAACAAAATCTCTCCAACTGCAGATTACTTCGTTTTTTTTTTAAATGAAGTATTAAACATTTATATAAATAATGAAATGTAATACTGAGAATGCCATCTACAATTGTATTTTGTTCCATAGAATATATTTAATGTACTTATTGTATTTATAAAACTAAACTGTACTACTAGGTTCATGCCTGTCTTATGCATTCAAATAAAATATTATTACTATTATTATAATAAATATTAACTGTTTATACTTTTTATTTAAAATGGAAAGTAATAATAATAATGTAATAAAGTAATAATAGGTGCTATAAATTAGGTATAAATTTAATTCAAGGAATGACCAAGGGTCGAGTCAATGCCATTAAGTTTCTTGTATTAATCGAATAAATATATTAAATAATACCATACCAACTGGACTGATTTCTTCATTTAGGATTAAATTATTCTGAGAAGAGTTTGAATTGAAAGAAACAGAAGGTTTAGCTCTTTTTCTAGTAACTTTCGTACTACTTGGCTCAGTATCTATTTTTAATTTTGGTGTTGAATCTAGAAAATATATTGAATACATTAATATAATATAATACAAAAGTTAATAAAATTTACTGAAGGTATGAATAATAATAAAAATAAAATTATATCATACCGACTGGATGGATTTCTTCATTTAAAAATAAACTAATCTCTGAATAACCAGAGTTTTTATAAACAGAACTTTTACCTTTTCCTTTGGTAGTTTTTTTACTTCTTGTTTTAGATTTAGAACCTTAAAAATAAAACGAATATTTAAGTATAATAAATATTATCATAAATAATATAAAGTAATAACATTTAAACATACCAATTTTAGCAGTTTTATCATTAAATGTTAAATGTTTTTCCGGATAGTCCGAGTTTATAGAAACAGAAGGTTTAATCTTTATTTCAGTAGCATTCATACAATTGGACATTGTTTCTCTATTATCTATATTCAATTTAGAACCTAAGAAAATTGAAAGACTAAATAAATTTGTTATAAATATAATTGTTACATATGATCCAGGATTGAGGCCAAAGCTATATGGCCACACATCTTTTATTAACGAGAAACATTATTTAAGAGGCACAAAAGTTCAGACTCACAGAAGTTATCCTGTGAGTCTAGGTTATTATAAGAGCCACAATATCCTTTATTTATTTTAATGATTATATCTTTTTACCTATTATTAAGTGTGATAGTATGATACGTTTAACAGACTCAGATTAATATAAATTAATACTTACATAGTTTGTCTTTTACTTTACAGTTAGGACATTCCATTTGTTCAGTAGTCATAAAGTTTTCACACATACCAGATAAACTACAAAGAGTAGAACAATACGATTGAGCCATATTCTTTAGATCAGGTAAAAGAAGATTTTGTGAGGATTTAGAATAAGATTTTGTTGCTCTAAAACAAAATAAAACTCATAAAGATGATAATATAATAAGCAGGGCCCAGATATCAATGCAAAGTATATTTAATTTTTTTTTAAGTAATTTTAGGCAACGACTTCCTAGTATGTAATATGTTGCATGAAACAGATACTTCAAAGATGAAACTCTTATTTTGCATTTTAGATTAATAATGAAATGAAGGATTTTATGGTATTACATGGTTTTTTTATTTTTTGTTTTTATGTCAACACTTTTTCATACGAGACCAGAAATACTGGTCCAAAAGTTTTATTGGGCTACTTTTTGAATTTGAAGTCAGCCTATGGTGATACTGTGGAGAGGTAATTTTTCCACAATCTCAATAGTTTTTCAAGCATGAGGAAATATAGCCAAAAACCAAGTAAAAAAGTGCTGTAAACAAGACTTCCACTTTCCAGATTTTAGTTATTTAGTCATAACTCCAAAATAATGTGGCTAGAAACTTGAACTCTATATCAGACATGATTTTTTCAAACTTGTCAACATTTTTAAAAAAATTAAGCATATTTGGTTTAAATATAGAACTTAAAAAATACCTTATATTTCGAAAGCTTTTAAATAATAAAATTTAAATTTTTGGATATTAAGACTGGAAAATTTAATATCACCTTACTCATGTACTTACTTAAAGATTCTGAAAAAATCATTTAACAGGATTTCATCTTAGAGTGTTAAAGTAAATTAAACAATTTTAAAGGAGTTTACTGTTTTTACATACATTTTCAACTGAAAATTTATTTTAAGAGAAATTGTTTGATCTAATTAGAATGAAACATTGGATACAAATATAATTACGTGTTTTGAATATTTGATTAAAAAAAAATTTCTCTTTCATTAAATAAGTCGATAAAAAAAAAAAAAAAAACCTACCAAAAATTAAACTAAAAATGATAAAATATATAAACAGTATATTTTTATACTGAAGCTTTGCTCAGAATCAATTTACTAAAAAATTATTATTTGTATAAAATTCAATACACCGAATACCATTATCCAATCCGAGGACCAAAGGGACAAAGGATGAACTTCCACCACCATTATTTCACCGACTTTTCTCAAAAGTTTATTTTTATTTTTAAGCCCCCCCATGGTTATTCTTGAATGATAATCAATATGATTGATAGTCAAAACCAGTGCCAAAATAACCGGGTGTGATGTGTGTGTCAAACACACACCCAATGATAATATTTGAAAAAATGACCATGTATGGGGACCAACCTTAAAGGCATTAGAGCATTTTTTTAGTTTAAATAAAACATATTTGTACATTACATACACCTTAATAATTTAAAAAAATTGTCTAAATATTCAAATGGATCAAACAACGATAATATTTAACAATCGAGGCAGCAAATTTTTATTGAATGAATCTGTTAAATTTGCCTCTGGATATCATTTATAAAACTAAAAACAATACAATACTTATTTTATTGCACGCATTTTCTTTTTAATTGTTACATTAAAAATAAGTTTTCATATCATAGAAAATAGAAAGTGTAACAACTTGATATTGATTTCAAAATGCTTTTGATTAATTAATCACATCGATAAATTAGTTCAATATCGATATAGAAAAAATATGATATTATTGTGCATCATTAATATGTAATATAAATTAATACTTACTTGGATGTAATTAACATGTTGACTCCACCAGGTCCATTAAACAATATATTTTCAATATTTTTTAGTTTCTTTAATGCAGTTCCAGGATAATAATTACAGTTTATTAATAATGAAATTCCATGCTTTAAAGTTGTTGATACAGGCCCCGGCCCAATAACTTTTGGTAATTTCAAAGTTTTTTTTTTTAGGAGATTTTTACCAGAATAACAATTTTTGTTAAAGTATATACACATTTTTGAACCATAGTTTTTCTTTTTTTCAAAATCATCTTTTTCTCCAACTTCTTCTTGTAAAATTGCATCATGTAATTCTTCATCTAATTCAGGTGGCTCTACTTTAATATTGTTTAGTTTCTTGTCTGCAGTTTTTGAGACAATAGAATTATTAACACAATCTTCATTTAATATATTTTGGATTGACTCTTCTAATTTATCTTCAAAACGATGACTATTTCTAAAAATAAATAAATAATATCTTCTTAGTATGAATAAAAAAAATGTAATCAATATCAATATGAGATTATTCATACTTTTTACTATAATGATAAAATATTTCTCCTTTAACAAAATTAGGATATTTTTCTAAATAATCTTTATCTACTAGATGAAAATCAATGTCAATATCAGATGCATAATACATATTTTTATAATCATCACAATCAGCAAATGGAACTTTTGGTGTACTTAATAAGTATTTATGTTTATTACACCAACCAACTGGAAAAACATCATCTGAATAAACTGATCGCACATGTAATAATTCATCACACCTTAACTCACAAAATAAATTGATACATAAATAATTATTTTAAATAATAATAATAAAATTTGCATTACCAATGAGTACGATCAAAAGACAAAATCATCCAATGATCTGAGAGTCCTTTAACTGTAGCCACACGAATACGATTAGTTTCCATAGGATCAACAGCTTCTAATTTCATGCCAACACGAATACAGTCAGTTTTTTTTCTGCATATATTATTGATATTAGCTAATTTGGAATTTTTCATTGAAATATATTTTGACCAACAAAATGTGTTAGATGTGTTCCAATCAGATGGAGGCTTTAGTAAGAACTTATGTTTACTAGCCCAGCCTAAAAATATATTAAAATATTAATAATACACCTACAATATAAATAAATAAGTTATAAATGTAGTTTTTGAACCTCCATTAAATAAATAAGGATTTTCCTTAGTAGCTATAAATGTAATTCTTTTCTGTATATTACTGTCATTGTCAACCTCAACTTTAAAGTAGCGATTATCATAAATCTTAACGATTGTAGCAACATAGAAAACCATCAATGAATAAGGATTTATTACTTCTAGCATTTCTCCGACTTTATAACTGTGTTGTTCTGGAGTTTTAGGCTGATAACATACACATGCAATAATTTTATTACTACATTAAACTGAAATATCATAAAGTGAAATAATATACTTGAAAAAAAAACAGTTTCAAAATAAATATAATAAAGGATAACTGCTTATTTTTATTCATAACTGCATACATTTATTTAAAATTTTTTTAAAAATTGGATTATTAATTTTTTTTTTTTTTGCATATATATTCTATTATATCTTATTAAAATGTTGACTTATTTTAAATTTAAGAAATGCTTACTCAATAGCTATATAAAAGTAGGTAAACATTAATTAAACCACTGAGAAAATTAACATGTTAAGTTAGAAATAATTAATATTTAAGATTATTCGATATAATTTTTTTTTATAAAACATAAAATTAATTTATACATAAATAAATACCTTTAATACATTCATTAAAAAACTTGAATCCAAAATATCTTCAAACTTTACATCTAGGTTCATAACTCTCCACGGAAGACCTACAAATATATAAAGATTAGATATGCTAAAAAAATAAATATTCTACTTTAATTAAATACCTTTCTGTTCTGCCCATCCCAAAGGAAAAATACGTTCATTCAAATAAAATAGCCAAAATGGTGTTTTTTCTGGACTTGATACTCCTTGCATTTTTAAAAATAATCTTCCTCCAACATTTTTAAGTATCTTAAAACAATGCATTTTTTATAAATTAAAATAACATTAATTATAGTTAAATAATTTTAAGATTCAATTATCATTGATTATAAAACATATTTAATTATAATCAATAGTATTATTAAACAAAATGTGGAAGTATCAATGGGTCAAGGAAAAGTAAAGGGATATTGATGTTGTAACAATGGACCTTAGTGGTCTTTAAGATGACTAAGAAAAAGTAGAATATTACTAAACTAATAAAGTAATATGCTATAAAATATATTTTACTTTTGAAATCCAAACTCGATAAGGATATTCTTTGTCTTGAACTTCTACAAACATTTCAGGCTTAAATATATTATGAATTGGAACACCATTCTAAAAATGATATATAAAACAACTGAAATAATTTCTTTACTTATTAAAATACAGAAATAAATTATACCATTTGTAATACATAGTTAGACACAATATTTTCACAATCCTGAACTTTTTCTTTCATGGTTTTTAGATTTACCCGAGAAAATCTATTAGGATAAGGTGGCACTAATTTTTTATTATTTTCACTGCCCCAATTTAAAGAATGAATGCGTGGTGACTTCACTTCTAACCAAAAATCATGTTTATCATTCTCATCACCAAAATAATGCAGACTAAAATGGAATAAGTATTTGTTACTCTGTTAATAATCTGTTTTTATTTCTATTTTAATTTATATAAATTTACTTGATTAAAACCCCCTTAGATGAACAAACACTAGCAAACCAATAACCATTCTGATCTTCATTTTCAATTTCAACAACTGAACCCACTTCAATTCCATTTAGTTCACTTTTACAAACCTGGAAATATATTTTTGTTTAAGAAATTATTGATTAATCATTATTATACATAATGGATATAAGTATATAACAACTTACATGATGAAAAAATTCTTCTGGTACTTTTTCTGCATTTCTTACTATAAGATATTTATTCCAATCAAATGATTTTTTCTAAAAGTATTTTCAAACATCATAAAAATTAAAAATCAAAAAAAAATTATATAAATTGTATAATAAAAATTATGTAAAAATACTCAACAAAAATATTTTTCATAGCAATTCGAACAGATAATTTTTTTACCTCCTATTTTAGTAATTTAAATAATTATTTTAACATTTTAAAAAGCACATTTATAAAATTTGTTTAGAAAAAAATTACATTCCAGTACAAATAATTAAGATTTTATTAATAATTAATGAAAAACGCTACAATCACATCAATAGAAACACATCAGTCATTTACTTACCGGCATTTGAATCATCAGAATTAGTTGAACTCATATTGTTTGAACTATAACATGAGTTCTCTATAAAACCTGAAAGTTTATATATTTTATAATCAAAATGAGAAATTTGGAAACTTGTGTTCCTGAAGTTACAGATATAACAATTTCGTTCGTAAGAGCAAGAAGGCAATATAGATTCACTTGAATAATTTTATTGACTGCATTCAGTTTACAGTTTGACAATTTAAAAAATTACTATAGTGTTAAAAATAAATAAACGTCATTAGACGATGCATGGTTGAATAGTATAAATAGAATGCACGGTCTTGGAAGGTAAAGTAACGAAAGTTCTGCCTCCCTGTACTGCTAAACAAAGTAAGATAATTTCATTATTTTGCTTTTGCAAAACACAGTTACACTATTGAAACGATACAGATTGCGGCCGAATTTGGTACTAACCATATTATGACCAATATTACCACACAATATCACTATGATTCTGAAGCCGTGTTCACACTACACTGTGACGTGTATTTTACTCATAGATAATAGAATATAATAGAACTATGATTTAACTAGACCGTGTGCTTTGAAAATGTGTGATACCACCACAGATATGTATAATAAACATGTGTATTAAATATATCTGTGGATACCACTATATGTCTTATGGTGATGCTATCAAATTTTGGTTACATATTTTTGCAGTTTTCTTATTAGATATCAAATATTTTTATAAGTCTCAATAAATAATAACTGATGAATATTAAATTATATAGTAGACAATATGTATTATATTATTAAAGTGAGAACTTTATTATTAGGGCTCCGGGTACTATATATACATGCACTTATGCGCTTAAAAATGTACATATATGCTTCAAAATTAGCACCAAATTTTTTTCTTCCACAAAAATGTTCATAAATAAAGATATTTTATTAAATATACTCGTTCATAATAGTAAAAATTTTATTAGTATATTATACTAAGCTAAACATAATTTCTAGGTATAAATATATATGATAAAATAAAATAAAATAAATAGTTTGAAATTTAAAATTTTCTTTCAAAATGTTCCCATTAGGTTTTTCATTGTGTCATGAAAATAATTTCAAGGTTACTTAGCAATAAATTGAATAGCCCAATAAAATCATGCGAATGCAACACCTTCCGAGCCATTTATTATTATGAATACTGTTATCATAGAATATTAAATTATTACTATTAAAATCGGTAATCACACGCTCAAAAGTTGGATAAAATCAAATCACGGTATTTTATGGTTAGTGAGGTAACTTGTGATTTATTATACAGCATACCTTGATGTAACAATATGGTTCAACCAATCAGAGATAATTATTTTAGAAGACACGACACGGCACGGTGTAATGTGAACCCGGCTTAATATCAACACAAATGGGCAAAGGGATCGCAGGAGCAACGCGATTTATTTTTTGGAACTGGTTATCACGTTTTTTTTATCATCAAAATCAGTAGTTCCCAAACTGTATACCACGATGCCCTAAGGTACCACGAACATTTTCTAAGGGCACTGCGGTTCTACGGTTCAAAACAAATAGTTTAAAATTTATAAAATTGTTTTTCTTTATCGTTTTTGTAAAAACTTTATAGCAAATAATGTAATATTTTCTATTGTTTTTTCGGATATTTTCAACCTTACACTATTTTTATATAATAATTATAATTAGGGCCCGGGTTTTTATGCAAAATTTTTTGATTGATCATACAAAATGTATTCTAAGAACATAATTCGTTTCATATAACGAGGGTTTCAAAGCTACACATTTTATTTTGCTTATTTCGACGTTTTTTTCATTTTTAAAGCATTTTTAGTATTTATTATTGGGTCATTTTGTTGGTTTTTTTGTTCAGTTGTTCAATTTGTTCAGTGCAAGCAATTAGAGGCCAATTTTTTCCCACCACCAGGCCAACATTTATGATTAACAGTGATTTCTGATCAGCCGCGGTGCATGCACAACAATAAAGATTAGATAACTGAAGGCCAAAGTGGCAAGGCCGCCTATCAGTGCAGGCCCGGATCAAGGGGTAGGCGACATAGGTCCACGCCTAGGGTGGTATTTAACATTTTTAAACTATGGATAATTTTGAAAAAAAATATTACATTTCCTTGTACCTACTCATATCAAATTGTGGGTGGTAAAAATAAGACTCAAAAAACTGTTTTATTTAATTTAAATTAGTGGTGGTTTATTTTTCTACAAATGTATTCATCTAAAAAAATCTTAATTTTACATAAATAAATATAATGAACTCAAAATTAAGTCCATTTTAGTATTGTTTAAGTAAAAATAAAATTTGATGTAGTATCTACATGTAAGGGACGGCAAAACTTAAGTTTGTCTAGGTGTAAGTAAAAGTTTAAGCCGGGTCTGTATCAGTGACGCCTAGGCCAATAATTGAAGATGAAAAAAATTCAGGGTGTACGAGTACATACCCTCCCTCCCGTGCCCCTGTTTTTAATACATATTTGTTCAATATACTAAACAAATTTAGCCTGTTCAAAATAATATCAAAAGATAAATTATTTTCTGATATTTAATTAGGTTTATCGGGTTTTTTTCATACACATTATCAATCGATGACAATGTCAATGACAAATTTTTCGATTTAGTTTTTTATCTCATCTTAATTTATTATTGACTGTGGAACGTCATCAGTGTTCAGTCAAATAACAAATAACACAGTTACTACTACTTGGCTGTTTTAAATTTTTGCACTTATATTTATAGATTTTGGCGCGCTGGATTCAAATCTGTAACCAATTTTTCTCTGTCACGTCTAATTTTTCTACAACTTGAATAATAAATATTGTGTTTTCTGTACAGTCATACAATAATATGCGATATATTCGTAAGTTGAAATATTATTATAAACTTAATGTAGTATACTTTAATGAAACTTTAATCTTATCTTTATTAAATTGTTTATATTGTATTAGTTCTCTCATTTTATTATAGTTCAATTAAATCAATTAAATATATTTTCAAACTTATACAATTGTTGTTTATTCTTTATAGTTATATTCATTTTATTCTTCAAAAATATCCGAGTTCTATATCACATTTCTAAGATTTTATTCGTATGATTTTTGATTTTCAATTTTTTTCAGTATGACGTCTAAAACCATGAAAGATGTAAACTAATGAAACAACAAAATAACAAAACAAATGTTATTAAAAATGTATACAACGAATATATTGGTATTAATTTTGGAGATCAAGATAAATCTTGGGCACCCCATATTGCTTGTCGATCCTGTGTTGAAATTTTGCAAAATTGGAAACAATGTAAGCGTTTATCTATGCCTTTTGGAATACCAATGGTTTGACAAAAACAATACAAAGCTAATTTACCTTCTGCTATACAACCTGTTCGCGCCAACGGGCCTTACTCAGGCGTACGTCGGACGCTGAGTCCTCCGGACCGTCGTGAGAATAATAATAATAATAAAAAAACAATACAAAGT